TTCACTGCCTCACCATGGCTCACTACCCTTATTTCTACTCTGGTGGGGCCTCTCATAATCCTTATACTTCTCTGCACTATAGGACCCTGTGTAGTTAATAGGCTTATAAATTTCATAAAGGAAAAAATAAAACAAATACAATTAATGACATTAAGAGTTCAATATGATCGCCTGCCCATTTCCCCCCTAGAGACACCAGCCTAACCCAAGGCAGGACACCAGCCTACCTAAATCAAGATCTGGCCAGTTACTGGAGCTCTTCCACAGGCTGAGGTGATGATACAGAATAAAAGGGGATTAAATCTACTAACGGCTGAAAGGGGAGGCATCTGTTTATTTTTACAGGAAAAATGCTGCTTTTATGCCAATAGATCCGGGATCGTCCAGGATAAGATTAAAAAATTCCAAGAAGATCTAAAAAAGAGGAGGTGAGAGTTTCAAGAAAAAACCCTCTGGACCGGCTTACATGGCTTCTTGCCCTACCTCCTCCCCCTACTTGGCCCCCTCCTCACACTTCTCTTTATCCTTACTTTCGGGCCCTGGATATTTAACAAATTTATGAGGTTTGTTCACCAGAGAATAGAGGCAATCAAGTTACATCAAGTCGAGGTTCATTATCACAGGCTCGCTAATTGGGAGCCAGGCTCTTACAAGTGGCCACCCTCGTATGATTGCCTGACCCCTTCCCTCCATGTAGCCAATGACGGGTAAGACCCTCCCAAACAGATGAACCTAAGACAGGGACCATGAGGGTAATCATGGTTACCTGAGGACGGGCAACTTCAGCACCTGAGGAGAGGCAACCTAAGACAGGACATGGAGAGGCGCCATGGCAAGTAAGATTCATAGCATCCAGTGATGGGTAAGATCTCCAAAAGAGAGACAACCTAAGACGGGTTATGTTTCTCCACCTTCACAACAAAAACAAAAGGGGGAATATGTTGGGCCTTCGGGACCCTCATACTTGTGGCATAGAGGAAAATAAGGCCTAATGTAACTTCCTGAGCTTGACTAAAGTTTAGCAACCTGTCTCTAGCTGGTCACTTCCTCGTGGAGGTGACTCAGCAGGGCCCGATTTTAGACTGTCTCTGCCCAGTAACAGTTGGCATGGTAAATTCCCAGTGGCCCACAGTCATCGCCCCAGGTGACGCATTCCTATACCCATCCCCCTTTCCACACCCCTTTTACTTAAACTATATAAGTTGATGCCTATTGCAATAAAGTGAGTTCCTGCCTCGACAAGACTCCCGACTCGGTGTGGGTTTTGAGTCGCCAACACTCACCATCCCACTCAGCCCCCAAGAGAGGGACCCAGGCTGGTCCTGGCCTCTCCCCCTGTGCCGTACCTGTTGGAGCGCCCGACATTCAAGTCCCTGAATTCCATCCCCACCCTCACAAAAAATTAACTAGTCAATAAAATACAATTAAAAGGGTTGGAGAGATGGCTCAGCAGTTAAGAGCACTGGCTGCTCTTGCAGAGGATCAGGGTTCAATTACCAGCATCCACATGGTGGCCAATGACCATCTGTAACTCCAGTTCCAGAGCATCAATGCCTTCTTCTGGCCTCTGTGGGCACTGCATGATGTACACTCATACATATAGAATAAAAATAATGAATAAAATTAAAAAAAAAAAATTTTATGGAGGCAGAGACAGGTGGATCTCTGTGTGTTCAAGGACAGCCTGGTCCATATAGTGAGTTCCAGGACAGCTGGGGCTACAGGGAGACCCTGTCTCAAAAAGACCAAAAAAATTATTTTTATTTATTATTTTTATTTTTATGTGTATGAATGTTATGCCTGCATGTAGCTAAGTGCACCCCTGTCATGCAATGCCCGAGAAGGACAGAAGAGGCTGTTGGATCCCCTGGAACTGGAGTTATAGATAGTTGTTAGCTGCCATGTGGGTGCTGGGAATCGAACCCC